TCTCCACATTCTTGTTGTTTTCATTCTGTCTCTCCTTCCAATCTGCGATTGGGATATTCTTCAGCTTTCCGATTGATGTTCAGGAATGTGAAGTCCTTATTTGTATCTATCTCACTTTAGTTTTTCAAGTGTTATAGGGTGACGTTCTGATGTATTGATCTACTTGCCATCTTAACTGGAACCTCTTGTAGCTTTCTTCTTGACATATACTATTTTCTTTGCCCTCCCTCAGTGTCCTCAGGAAGAAGATCCTCTCACTGATCTTGTATCAAAGCTGAAGGGGGTCTCAGTTGTCAAAGGTGGCACCAAAGGGTTGTCACACAAAAGACCGTTCCTAGAGTAGAGTGATGATGAGAGATCTGGAGGTGGCTATATGCAGGGACCTCAAGATGAGGCCTTTGTTGGAGACTAAGGCATCTGTGAAAGAGAGCTCCGATCAGAGTAGGAAATTCACCCCACAGAGGAACAGTCTTGATCCTGACAGCTGTCGTCGCCACTTCCGGAACTTCCACTATCCTGAAGCAGCTGGACCCCTCCAGGCTGTCAGCCAGCTTCGGGAATTATGTCGTCGGTGGCTGAGGCCAGAGATCCACTCGAAAGAGCAGATCTGTGAGCTGCTGGTGATAGAGCAGTTCCTGACCATTATACCCAGGCAGATCAAGACCCAGATGCAGAAGCATCATCCAGAAAGCATTGCGGAGGCTGTGGCCCTGGTTGAACACTTTCAGGGAGAATCTTATCAAAGGAGGAATGAGGTAAGAAGAAAGATTCCTGATTTTTGTATACAACGAAATAGAATTAAAGTGGGCCTATTAGGGAGGTGGATAGTTCAAGAGGAATGAGATGGGTATTGGATCACGCTTCTGTTGTTCCTGTAGTACAGCTGAGGCAGGATCTGAAACCATAGGTCACCAATAGTCTTCCACAGGTTTCAGTTCTTTTCCTCACTGCCCATGACCCACACTGCCTGGTAGGTGCATGTTTGGCCCAGGATTTCTCCCCTTGGCAACCAGGCTTGACACAGTGGGGAATGGGCAGCTCCCAGGCTGTTTAATCTGATTCCTTTGACTTTTTCCTTGATAGCTTCTCTGTCTCTCTTTGTCATGTACTATTGTTTTCTTCAGTGTCTGGCCTACTATGGAACTCAGAGATGCGTGGTTAGACTGCTTTTGTAGTGGCGAGTACTGACCTAAAGCCCTTTCTCTTCTTCAGAGTTTGTTGACCTTTGAAGATGTGTCCCTGAATTTTTCCCAGGAAGAATGGGAGTTACTGGACCCCACTCAGAAGGCCCTGTACAACGATGTGATGCAGGAGAACTATGACATTGTCATCTCTCTGGGTAAAGATTACTTCTTCCTTTTGGGTAGAAGCTGAGTAATCTATTATTTCTTCTGTTGACATAGAATGCATCTCAGTGTATAGAGAATGTGAATTGTAGATTCACATGAGGGAGTCCCACTGTTTCAGTAGCTGATTGGTTCTGAACTTTACTGTGTAGGGGAAGGGAAAGATGTATCTAGATCACCTGGAGAGTTACTCCCAAGTACATATGCTCCACTTCCTTATTCTAAATAGAATTATTGACCCAGCTCACTTACAAACTTGCTTTTCCCATGTCTTTTCCATCTCGGTAAAGGGGACCACCATTCACCTAGTTGCGTAGATCAGAAACTTCATAGTTATCTATTTTTGCAGTCTTTCACTCATATTCCACAAGTATCTCAGCAAGTCATCTCAGCTCTAACTTTGTATATCCTGACTCTAACCATGTCTGATCCTGTTACCCTTCTAGTCTAAGCCACCATCATTTCTACCCCAAGTCTACAATAACAGCTCTCTACCTGGGGTCCTTCTGCCTCCGCTCTGACCTCTCACTCTGTTTTCCACACAGCAGCCAGAGTGATCTTTTACAGATATAATCAGAACATGAGCTTTCCTGCCTCAAATCCTGTGGTGTCTTTTCTTCACACTCACAATAAAATCCAGACTCTTTCCTGAGGCCCACAAGATCCTAGTTGATCTGGCCCTTCTTCCCTTTCTACCTTTTCTCTTCTACCATTCTCTCCCATGATCAGTTCTATTTAGCTACACTGGCTTACCTGCTGTTTCTTGAACTCATTTCTTCCTCCCCACATCCTCCGCCTGGCATCTTTTTCTACCATATCTTCACATGGCTTAACTTTCTTACTTCTTTTGAGTTCTTGTTCAAATATCCCTCAAAGAGGCCTTCTACAACTGCCTTATGTAAAATAGTTTCACCCCAGTACCATTCACTGCTCTGAAACCTGCTTTAACCAAAAAAAAAAAAAAAAAACCATGCTCAGTGCCATCGAGTCGATTCCGACTCATAGCGACCCGCTTTGGGTTTCCAAAGTGGTAAATCTTTATGGAAGTAGATTGCCCAGTCTTCCTTCCACGGAGTGGCTGGTGGGTTTGAACCTCCATCCTTCTGGTTAGCAGTCACATGCTTTAGGCACTACGCCACCAGAGCTCCTTGTTAATCTGCTTTTGTTCCCTTCAAAACATTTATTACACTCTGACACTATTTTATTCATTCATTCCTTCATTTTTTTCATTTCTGACTGCCAACAGAATATAAGCTACATGAGAATAGATTCCTTGGTCTTATTCATTGTCTTGTTCCCAGCACCAATAGCAATGCCTAATACATAAAAACCAAAACCAAACTCACTGGCGTCAAGTCGGGTCCGACTCATAGCAACCCCTCCTTGGGTTTTCAAGGCAGTCTCACTACAGAAGTATATTGCCCAACCTTCCTTCCAAGGAGTGACTGGTGAGTTTGAACCACCAGCCTTCTGGTTAGCAGTCAAATGCCTTAGGCACTACACTACCAGAGTTCCACCTGACACATAATAGGCACTTAATATGTGTTTTTTGAATGCTTGAGAAATGAATACATACCATAACCTAGAGACCTGTATTTTTTTATGTTATTATTATGGTAAAATATATACAACACAATACTTGCTATTTTAATCATTTTCAAATGTACAATCCAGTGGCATTAATCAGCACTATTTGTTTCCACAGTTTCTTCATTGCCTGAAACATTAACTCTACCCATCATGTGATAACTCCTCATTCTCTATCCCCAGCCCATAGTAACTACTAATCTACTTTTTGTCTATATGCCTTTGTCTACTCTAGATGTTTCATATAATTGAGAGGAGACCTGTAGTTTTTAAAATGGAATCATGTGATTCTGATCTGTCCCCTCTACTTGGATGTGAACCAGTGAGCTATAGAAATGTTAGAAATCTCAGGGTGGGGAGGGAATGGGGAAGGAATAACTTAGGGCTAGTTGGGGGCCACACGCTGAGGTGGGCAAGGGGAAGGATGGTATGGAAAGAGTCTGTGACCACCATGATAACATTAGGGAAAGGGAGGATACCACATTGTGCACGTAAGATATAGACGACAGAAGCTAATACCAGTATATCTACAATATTGCAATTACCATTTACACCAAACACCAGGCTACAGATAAACACATAAACATCTGAGAAGATGATATGGAAGTCAATGAACAGGATTCTACTCTAGACCAAGGATAGATTCAGCTGAGGCTAATCTTGCACAGATGCCAGTGATACAAAATACCCATAATCCTTACAGAAAGACAGACAGACATAGAGCAATCCCTCACAGACAGCCAGACACTGTGGGAGAGAGATCCATCGGATCTACCGATTCAGGACCATAGTACTGGGGGCCACCAGACTCAGTTGGCACAACAAAATACATAAAAATCTTGTTCTACAACCTACATCGATGAGTAGCGACGGGGGTCTTAAAAGCTTTCAAGTGGCCATCTAAGATGCAGCTAATGGTCTCCTATCATCATAAGTGAAGAAGAGTGGAAAAAACCAAGGGCATTTGGAAACAATCAGCCCTAGGACCTGATGGACTTCGAGACCAGAAGCACTAGATGGTGCCCAGCTGAAAATGCCAACAACTGGGGAAAGGATCAAAACTAGAGATCCTGGATAGAGTGGGAGGAAAAATGTGGAACAAAATCCAAAAACACAACAATGATCAGAATTACTGGTCAGATGGAGTCTGGTGGGACCCCTGATACTATGACCCTGGAACACACTTTGGGCCTGGAATGAAACTCACTCTCAGGGGCTTGCTCTCAGCCCAATAGTAAACAAGATGTACACACAGACTACTCAACCCAGGGTGAGTGCAACCCACATAGTCTATGGAGCTGCGTCCCTTGGAGCAATCAACCATGGGGCACCAGGGGGGCAACATTCGCATGGAAGAAATGTAGGACACACAGGAGTGCATAACTGTGAGGGGCACCGGGGGGGGCAGGGGTACTGGGCAGGGAGGGGAGGAGAGTGGGTTAGGGTTTGGGGGTGATAATTGGGGAGTGAAACTAAGTGTACATGAAATGTTGAATGTGAAACAAACTCTGTAAATTTGCACCAAAAGCACAATTAAAAATAGAAAAGAAAGAAAGAATTGTTAGAAATCTCTCCTAAATAAAAAGTAACTAATTACTACAGGAACCTGTTGTGTGTAAGTTACCCAAGCCACAGACCTTTCAACTGGCTCTATTCCCCAAGAGTTAATCAAACCAGCATATATTCCTTGTAACCTCTGGAACTTGATTCCCCCTTGGTCAAACATAGGGCATTCCTGGTATCAGAAGATGGGAAATATACAATGGATACTCATTCCCCATATCCTTTTCATCTCTCTACCTTAGGTTTATTTCTCAACTCTCTCATTTCATATTCACCCAGAACCGCAATGGAGTATAAGTCATATATTGGATCAAATATTCTACCTATTTAACCATTTGGAATAACAAAAAGTATAAACTCACTCTTCCTGTAATAGTCTAGAATTGATATGAAAGTCCATGACCTTGAGAATTTCTTCTCAGAGAATCATTTTTGCACCCTAATCATAAAGTAATCTGTTCTGAATGGGGAAAAACCAAGGATCTAAGGTCCCCAAGAATGTCAGGATTACGTTGGAGAGTGTCCTGTAGTTATGTGAATACATGGGAAGAGGAGAAGTACTTCCTGATAGGAACTGTTACAAGGGCTTAACATTTTGTAATTCTATTCTTGTATTTTTAACTGAACATTTTATTGTAATAACTGTAGATTCACATGCATAATTAAAATATAATTCATAGAGAATCCAGTTTCCATTAATAATAACATTTTGTTAAACCAGAGTGTTTTATCATACAGTATCATATTGCTATTGATACAATCCATGGATCTTATTTACATTTCTGCAGTTTTACTTGTACTCATTTCTGTGGGTAAGTGTATTTAGTTCGGTGCAGTTATATCAATGTTTGGGTACATGTGTTCATGCTATAATAAAGATATTGGACAGTTTCATCACAGGGATTCCTCCTGTTGCCTTTTTATAACTACATGCACTGCCTTCCTGCATCCAATCAATATCACTATATATAAATGATTTAGAAAGTATGTTACCTTTTGGGATTGGCTTTTTTCTTTTGAAATTTCTATTGTGATTTGGGTGAAAGTTTACAGAGCAAATTCATTTTCCATACAGCAGCTCACATACACCTTGTCTCATAACACTGACTACAATTTACCACAATGCAACAGCTCCCCTCCCACTTCCTTCCCTGTGTCCTTCCCTCCCATGCACTCCTGCCTCCCCCCCGAGCTGTCTCCCTTTGCATACACAGCCCTTCTATTCTCCCATAATTCATCTCTCCAAGGAGTGTATCTACCTAATGTAAATGTTCAGCTCATATGCCTGTCTTTTGTTTGGCTGGAAGCCACAGGAGTGGGTTCAATTCCAGACCTGAAGGGCAACTAGAGGCCATAGTCTCAGTGGTTCCATAAGATTCTATCAGACCAGCAAACCTCCTTTTTCTTTTTTTTTTTTTTAATGATTTTGAGTTTTGCTCCACATGGGATTGGCTTTTTTTCTTCACCATAATTCCCTGAAGATTCATCAATGTGTCCCCTGTCTCATTATTTTGTTGATTTTTATTGCTGTGTAGTATTCCACATAATTCTACTCGGCACTGGACAAAAGTGAAGAATTTGAGGTCAACAGAAGACACTTAATATAATGGCTAGAAAAAATGAAAGCAAATAGGAGTGCCTTCTTACCTCAGCAGTAAATGCAAGTTTGGAGCAGTGAATCAAGAACATTATTTTGTAGGTTTTTCTCTGTTCCTGTCTGGGAGCATGCTTTTACCCTGCCTTGTAGAGGAGGTAGCTGGAGCAAGCAATGGCTGTCAGGGTTCCAGCTCCTAGCCTGTGGTTCACCTAGCAGCTGCAGCCAAACAGAGTTTTTGTTTGTAGA